AAAAAAAAGGAAGAACGTACCACAAAATTCGACTCCACTCGCTACTCCTGGAAAAAGATAAAATTACCGTATGAAAAAAAGTTTTCAGCTATATATATTTGTATATTTACCACTATCAAAAAGAACATAATAACGACGTCCTGGAATCCACGTATAATTCGTTATGATAATGATTGTATTTCCAGTATACAATATATTTGATTGCCATCCAGCATCAAATGTTTGTACTGATGTGTTAGTTGTAGCGTCCATAAACTTAACGTAGGTTCCATTTCGAGTCGGACGATGAACATCACGAGTTGCTATAAATAGATAAACAAGACTTTTTTTCCTCCATTCCATACATAGTTTATGACTAATAATACTATGATTCTTGTCTAATGACAAATTGTTTATTACAAGCAATAGGAATTTGTTGAAGAAAACAAAAAAATTTTTTTTTTTTAATATTTACCTTGTATAGAAAATATTGAGTGATTTGAAAATATAGTTCCAATTGGTGAAGCAGTGCCTTGAACAACTGTTGCTCGGATGAGATTCGGTGAGTCAAATCCTACTAAATAGGTGATACACCAAGCATCTGATTGTAAATTACTGCTATCAACAGCACCAGCACAAAAACCTTGTGGACCATATTGGTTATCTGTTGGAGTCCAAGTAAGTGTCATAACATAAAGTCCTAAAAAGAAAAATTTGTTACTAATTGTTTAGCAATATGAAAGACTGCAGAACGTACCACCTCCTTGACTGACAACCGTACTATGTCGCATTCCAATAGGTGAACTTGTTACATAATTACTAATAGTCGCTCCACTACAGAAAGATTGTGCAATGACCCGTTCAGTAAGTGTTACGTCTAGTTTAACAAAATAATTAATATTGCTAAATGATTAATTGTCTGATGATTTTCATTAATATCTATCTCAAATTTTACTTTCAGGCTAAAAATTAAAGATTTATTATATCGTTCTCTTTATAATTATGTAATACATTTCATTTCGTGCTAGTATCTTTGTCATATATGCTGAAAAGAAGGATTTCTACAAGCTTTTATGTGTTCTGAAGAATGCCATAAACATTCAAGATTTTAAAAAGCGTTCCAGTAAAAAGATGAAATTTTCTTGAATGAATTCGACGGTCTGATTGAGAATCTGTTTCTTCGGCTGTGACTACTGACCTTCGAATAACACTGATTTAATTCTATGAGAGTTTTACATTAGATTCAATATCAAGTCGCAAAAAAAAATGTTGTTTTTCTTAATCAATATTATTTGAAAGTTGCTTAATATGAACGAAAGTATTTAAAGTTATACAATATCAAATGAAATTTTTGCATCTGTATAGGTAAAAACAATCATTTCATGAAGAGAATGCTTGAATGTATAGTTGAAAGAAAATAACAATTCTCTTACTATACATCTTAATTATCTCATTCAGTTCTTGAAAACAGTCTATTATTGTTGAAGAATAAAACTACTATGTATCCTTTAGTGGTACCCATCAATCATATCGAAAAGATATTAAAGCTTAGACGATAACATGTGATTTACATATTTATTAAATTCTTTGGCGACCTATTATTCTGAAACTACTGTTAGAAGCGTTAATAGAATTAGAATTCAACTTACTGATTGGTGTTCCAATACAAGCTAAAATGAAAATATTCAATTAAATATTTGTATTCAGACGAATACTACGCTAAAAAATTAGAAAACCAATGTCTTCTTATTTTGATTTCTGAACCGAAGGCATATGTTATCCAACTTTAGTTATAAATTATTTCAGTTTTGTTATTTTTCACTAAAGAAGTATCAAGAATTTGTTCGAAATATGACTTTGGAGGTAAATTAAATCTGTTTTCAAAATCTATAAGAAAAAAGTCATACCACGATTTGGTCGTTCACCGATAATTTGTGGTCTCGTTGTACAACTACTAGATGATGAATAGGCATAAAAAAGAAATTGGATAGGTACAGAACTCATTGGAGCAGGGGACGACGAGTCATAGTAATCTTCAATTTGCAATGCGATAACATAATACCATCCAATACGAGTAGTAGGTAATGTAAATACTATCGTACAATTTTCTTCGTAAAGTGTCGAAATCCCATTCAATCCCACACAAGCGTCTTCACATTCATCTTTACGATTGTAGTTTGTGCCTGAATTTGAATTTGACCAACGACATTTGAGAATATCAGTGCCATCATTATCCGACATCTATACATGTCAATAAAAGACATAGGTTACTTTTAACAGCTGCTACAAATATGAAAGCACAAAATATCGATATCAATATATCTTTAAAGAATATGGTCTACAAGGACATTGCCTACTTTTTTTTCGAAATGCATATATCGAAGAGATATAGAAACCATCATGTGGTGCTTATTTTTGACTTTTCTATCATCATGTCATGGATGATAATAAAGAGTTTAGTTTATTTGGACGCAATACTTAAACAAAACTTTAATTACCTGTACAATATGTACTAACTGTTGTCCCACAGGTTTGAAAAGAACAGGTAATGTATTGGTTACTGGACTGCTATTTATATACCCATCGGGTCTTACTGCCAGATTTATTCGATTCATTACAGCCCAAGTACCACCTGCTGCTGGATACAAATTCGGTCCAAACCATGCGCTGCTCGTATAACCGATTGTAATAGATGTTGTTAATGGTAATGTGAGTGTATCATAGCGTTCACCAGCCCATGATCGAACCAACAGATTTGTATCACAATCAGTGCTGGTCATAACTGTTGATATACCAGCTGAAGGGAACGTTGAACTGGAGCAGTTTACATAACAGTATACTTTATTATTAACAGGTATTGATGTTTTACTGATGACGTCATTCTCGGTACAAAGGCTGCTAAACGAGCCCCAGTTACGATTCCAAAAGTATCGTTGATGGATTTGAACTTGAACGGTAGAACCACTTGGTTGATTATCCAATGGACGCCTGAAAAATATCGAATTTCAGTGAATTTCTCGAGATAACATTTGGTTTCAGAATGTTTCTATCGGATCTGCATTAGAAATGTGTTCAATGGCGAAGAAGGAGAGCAGACAGGAGACTCCCACACCATTATCCTATCAGATGCCAAAGTCTATTGCTAATAACGCTTGTAAAAAGCTTTCTCAGTACGTCTCCATGAGGAGCTAAAATGTGGAATCTATTAATTCTGATTGTTGGAAACGAATGGTAGGTTGGATACGCGCCATCTGAAGTTTTATCAATTTGTATTGCAAGATATACCTTATATACATCACTTCTTTTTTCTATATAATACATGCCTTAGAAAAGCAAAAAATATAATTTTTTTGTTCGTTTCGTCAGTTCGACCATCATATTGATCTGAGCACATCGTCCTTTCCTTATACGAACAAGGGTGTGGGTGAGTGTGAGTGTGGGCGTGGGTGTGGATGTGAGAATAAGACCCACACCCACACCCCAACATATGATTCTAACCGGTCGGATCGGACCGGTTTACTATTTCCCAGCCGGTGCCAGCCCTGATGTGGATATATATGTATAGTTATACTTTGACTAACTACATATTCTCTGGTAGTATTTTCAACTTTTTATGTTTGTTCATCTGCAGGTATTCAAAAATTAAACTTTTTTTTTACAGAAAGTGTTATGAAACTACAACAATAAGAAAGAATTTTCGAAAAAAATTATTCAGTTGCCATTTAGTGCAACCGATTTTTGGACGACGGACAGCTGCGCTGCTGTTATAGATAAGTAATTTTTGGTTTTCATGCAATTTCTATTAGTGCTAGAGCTTTCCATTCTATGCATTGTGATGAATTTTTTTTTATCAAAACAGTTTTGGTTTTCATAGATATAAACTGAAGATGTTTATTAGTAAAACACCAACGACTGCCACAAAAACGGTTTTTTTGCATCATTTTAACAAATGTTTATTTTTTTAAAGTTTAATTCACGAAAACAAATTCTAACATAAAATCGAAGATCATATTAGGATTCCTTGTGCAGAAGCGCATCAATTCGTTTTTATT